GGAGTTGGAATGGAGTGGCTGCAAAAAAAAAAAATGTTGTAAAGTTTTGCAAATCTTTGATTTCAATAATAAATGGTCTATTTATAAACAAACTTGTCTTTATGCATTTCCTCAAGAGTGCTGCTGTACCATTCTAGATGATTGTCTGGCCATAGAATGGACTGGTTAAGGTGGAAATGGAAAAAGCATGATATGCTCTATAATTTCAACCCATCACATTGGTTTTTTACAGGTTTGCAAAAGGCACATTCACCTGGGCAATGAATATTCTCTCATATATGCAGAATAGACACTGCAAAGTTCCAAGTCAACATTATCCATTTAGACAAAATCGGGGAAAAAATTTGAAATATAAAGATGTCGTCTCACCACATGTTGAAATAAGAGTTGTCCCTGAATTACTGGTGGCAAGTCCCAAGAAAAGGCCAGACTGCTGATCAGACGGGTTCATCGCCATCAAGCCTATAAAGGAAAATTCACTTTTGTTTACCCTCAATTTATGAAACAGGCCATGCACATTTGATCTTTAACAGTAATTTAATGTGCAGTTGCAAAGCACCGCTCCTTGTAAAAGGGTTCCACATTTAATCAATATGAAACTGAAGGAATGTTAAATTTCACTTTAAGAAACTATCCTCAGCAATAAGAATTTAATGTAACATTCACAATGGTCTGAAAAATTTACTTACTGTCTGGAAGTTTGTAGTGTGAGCCGACGATGTTTTGGGTTGTCTTCTTCACTGGGCCACGTGCCTCCAAATTGAGCTGACGTACTCAGCAGATCTTCAGGGGCTCTGTATTCAACAAATACATTGAATAGTGGTGGCCACAAACAAGACAGTTGGGGGAAATGAACTACATAAATATTATGTGTATATCATCCATGTAAAGTACAGCCGTGGCCAAACGTTTTGAGAATGACACAAAGTCTGCTGCCTCGGTTTCTATTATGGCAATTTGAATATACTCCTGAATGTTATGAAGAGGGATCAGATGAATTGCAAAGTCACTCTTTGCCATGAAAATGAACTTTATCCCAAAAAATATATAAAGATTAGGATAACATAAGGCGGATGCTGCTGACTCAGCATCCACACAGTTATGACTTACTATTTCATACTTCTGAGTCTTTTCCTCTGAGTTATGAGATAATACAGGGGTTGGAATGCTGCACAACCTGTCTGAAAATCATCAGGTTTTTAAACAGATCATCTGGTGTACCTTGTGTTCCAAAATGTGAAATATGAGCTAACAACCAGGCTCGTTGTGTCCATAACAACCATATGCTTCCTGTTTCTTGTAAGAGTATGAGCTGTTCATGAGGGATCTTTAATTATACAGACATCTAGCCAATTAAATTAGGTAGGTAGCCTATAATGCTCTGTTTTCTCAAGTAGCAATGATTCATAACCAGTAACCTTTTACAAGAGCGTGATCTTGTATTTATGAGAAAACATTAAAAGCCATCACTTGTGCAAATATGGATACCGTGTATTGCAATTCGGGCGCAGGTGTTGGCCTCTATCTGCTGTTTGGAACACTGTGTAGGCCATATTAACTATTTTTGCTATGTGCTATTGGATGTAGTGACAGAATTACATTAATACTGAAGAAACCATTAGTTAACTATTGGATGTAGTGACAACTATCACTAAATTACTTTTATACTAAAGAATTTGTTAAAACCTGGTGATTTTCAGGCAAGTTGTGCTACATTGCCTCTACATTGGTTTTTCCTTTGCTTGGTGAATGTGTTTTCATAGTAAATGGTTGTTTTAACAGTCTGGTTCACTACACAACATTGTCTCACTTTCCTCTAATGGGTTCTACACATGCAGATAATTTCGCTGTCTGTGCCCAGACTTTGAGATATCACTTTCTGACCATCTCAGTACAGTGATGGTGAATGAAATGTTGTTTGTGCTGCTCCCAACATTCTCATGTTACATTTTGTACCAGAGCTCTGAGGTGTCTGTTGCAGCTCCACGTCTGAATCACTTTCACAGTTACATGATCAGTGATAAACAAGGCCGGATTTTCTCTTGAATCCTTTTGCGTAGAGTTACTGATTATAGTTAAGTTTGTTTCCTACTCTGCATCTCCAACTCTCAGATGCAGTTTCAATCATACATTTAAGTCTCATTTTAGCTCTGTAGTGCTGTTAACAAGGGAAATGCCCCTGCCAGCTAAACATTGCAGTGCAATCACCAACTAGTTGCAACTTTGTCTACAGTCTGGCGCTTGGCAGATAGGGTATCAAAGAGACGACCGCTAAAAGCTGAAGCTGGTAAAGACATGGACAGAAACCAAGACGCTGGGTGATTTGTCCTTTCTAACACTACAAGAAAATATCTGAACCACTGTTAATACAAGGATGTTAAAGGTGGCAGCACAAGTTTAAAGGATGCTCTCGTTACGGCTTGGGCACATGGCATCCAAACTCTGCATGCCATTAGATGCAAGTGAGAAAATGTTGTTTTTTTCTTCATGATGTATATGAACGTACTGTTTAGACTTTCAGTAAGAACACAGTCAAACCTGCAGTTATGTGGTTTGCTGGTGATGAGAGTGTGAGCGATACCTCTGGGTGTCACAAAGCCTCCGTCTCTTATTGTGACGTGTCACCAGCTGAGCTCTGTCGTCCCATTTGGATGCGTCCTGTGACACATCAGTCGGTGGACATGGCGTCCTCTGCTCTGGCAGAAGCCCGGATGTGACGTGACACTACCTGCAAATAAAGACAACACTGTAAATGGAGATGATTTCTGGTCCCCTGACTCCTGACCTGTATTTCACAGGAAGTACATTTATACTGCTTTGTCTGCATTGTTTGCACTGGTTGTTGATGTTAATACTGCTATTTTGTTATATTACACAGCCTTATGCTGCCTGTGTGCCACCTGCGCTTTGCATATGGCTGCTGTAATTGGTGCCAATCATCATGTTTTGGATCAATAGCTATGTGGGACAGACCTCATGCTGCTGGGCCTGCCGCTACTGATGCTGCAGTCTGATAAAAGGCTAAGAAGCTCACCGGCAGGAAGCCGAGCACAGTACGATGCCTGAAACAAACCAGTGGTGTGGGCTTTTAAACATCTAGACCCGGGTACCTTAACCCTTCCTCACGGAGCAGAACAACGTGACATTTACTTATCAATCACTTCTGTGGTTTAAAATGTGGCATTCTGATTTTTAATCAAACATCTCCAGTGTCACTGCCGACCACCAAACGGGCATTAATCTGAGAAGCTGCTGCCCCATGGCTGCACAAGTGAGTTTTCTTTGAGATACATGGAAAATAGCAAGATATGGAGCTCATGGGTTCATATGAACATTTTATGAACAACTTAGATATTACAAAGTCAAAAAAATGAAAATTGTTTTCCATTGTATCCGAGTTTTGGTGTCAGGTGACTCTAGCTACTAGCAGCCTGATGTGAGCTTCTACAAACACCAACATTATTTAAACCAATGTGACAAATGGAAAATCAAAGTCTGACACAACTTGATGAACTGTTCCTTTAAATTAAGGCATATTTCACTGCAGGTTCCACAGTCCACGCCCTGAAGCTTGCATAGTTAATTACTGAAACTGGGAAAAAATACTAACATTATGCACAAGTTGCAGTCTGGTGGGAGCTTTACTTCTGCTACAATAACAAAGATGATTAGGTTAAGATTTTATTTTATTCACATGCAATATCAAACCAAAACACTAGTCTAATCTCGAATGTTAAAGCTGGGCTGTAACTGCTATTGTTATTGGTTTTACAAAATCAATTTATAAGGACAGAAATCTTTAAAACTAACAGTTGTGGTGGAAATATTCAGATCATTTGCGGTGTAAAAATGCTCTGTTGCAAAATCCTGGACATAAAATGTTGCTAAAGCAAAATCATTATTCAATGCTGGAAAATGACCCATGTGGTAGTTAAACCACCATTCATTCATTATCAGTCATTCATTAATATAAACACAAGCTCCTACTCTTCTGTTTAATGTGGAGATCAGTTTTAGCTGTTTTGTTTAGATTTGCAACTAATGGCTGTTTTCATTAAAGATTAATCAGTAGATTGCTGATTATTGTCTTGAAATGTAAAACAGTACAATTCCCATTACAGTTACATAGAGCAACAAGCTGCAAGTCTTTTATGTCCAACCAATAATCAAAAATAAGTAAAAAGAAATCTAAATTATTAAAACTCTTAAAAAGCAGCTGAATCTCACATTTGAGAAGCTCGAACCACAAAATGACATTTAACTTTTGGCAAATAATTTTCAAAATGGCTACAGTAAATCAAATCAATTAGATCAACTAATCAAGCGGTACTTGTATTTACTGTTGGACAGTTTACTTAACACTAAGTAACTGTAGGGAAGTGATGTAATGGAGTAGAAACTGAAAAATTACAAGCTACAAATTACAAGTACCTCAAATGTGTAATCAAGAACAATACAATAAATGTAATTAGTTACAGTTCACCATCGTCTTTGCTCTCCTAGATGGTTTTAATATCCTTAATTGGCAACTAATAACATTAACGCTATGATATATATCTAACAAACCTTCATGTCTGTGATTTACAACTCACAACGTGGTTGTATTTGTTTTCTACCGTGGTACGTTGCCGTTTTCACAGTAAAATACATAATATCTTATCTTACGTAACAGTTTATATGCAATATCGGGGGATGCATAATGTTACATGCTGGTTTTTTATGTTTTGATAAACTTTGTCATTCAGCTTGCACCTGTGTAACAACAGCTAGCTACCTGCTAGCAAGGAGAATAGTCGCAGTTTGGCTCTTTCGTGTGTCATTCAACAGCTAAGTCTTGGGAAAGAACGTCAAAAATATAACCTTACCGGGTGGTCTGCCAGTGTTGTGACAACATCTAAGTCGACAGAAAAGACGTCAGGTAGATGTAAAGTAACAAAAAACCGAAGGTGTTTTTTTCCGAAAGTGATATCTTTCTTATTAAAACATAGCAAACGTGTTACATCCAAGATGGCGCAGGCTTTCTTCATCGCTAAAGTGTTTTTCGGCAGCAGTGCGCTCACTGTTGCCCCTGGCGGTAACTCTCGGTATCTTTGATGTGCTTGTACTTCACCATATTTCAGAGGAACATAAGTACTTATTACGACACTATATTAATTTGATATATATCAGATTAATCTTAAAATGTTATGGCCCTAGATCTAAATGATATTTTAAAAACATGCACACAAAAAATAAGCTTAAAAAATGCAAAATATTGATAAGATTAAACCAGTGTTTCCTGAGCTATTTGTGTTGAGATCCTTTACCAAAAAAAATCAGCGTCTATGAGGTCTGATGCAACTGGGTTGTTTGATGTTACACCAAATAAATATTTTCTGGCTAAAATTCTCAGGTAGTTCCATTTAAATGTGTTATTAATATTCAATTAAAACATTACAGATATAAGAATAGTTAAAAGATAAAAAGGAAAAAGTTCAGAGACAAATTTGTGTGACAGATTCTTCTTTCTTAATCCATTAATCTTAATCACAGGTTGGGAGCCACTAGACCAGACTAACAGTATATAAAGTGGCTCCATCTCAATACAGTGATGGAAGAAGTACTTTACTTAAGTAAAGGATCCAAGCACTTATTCAACCACTGCCATTGATACTGTTTCATATAAACCTGGTTGTTGAAACAATCTGACCACAAGGTCCAATCATTCACCTTTCAGTTGATTTTTATTTTTCAGACAGTCATGGATTTGTAGAAAAGCCGAATGATACAACAGCTGAATGGACCTTGTGGAGAGATTGTGTTGTCAAAGTCAACCATGGTTGTTAAATCCCAACTTTTAATCCAACACAGAGAGAAGTTTTTAAAAAGGCTTAGAAAAAAGAACTGAGCCTCAACAACTGACAGGAAAAAACATCTGCAGTGGAAGACAAGAGGACATGTGGCCTCAGTGTTGTCTTGAATGTTCGATTAGTGATAGTGTCTAAAAGTCAGGAGAAATTGTGAAAAATATAATTTCCTATGGCCTTAAGTGGCATTTTTTCCCCATGCATGACAAAGAAATGCAAGAAACTTGCATATATGAGAAACTGAAACCAGCAAATGTTTCATATTTCTGCTTGAAAAATCTGTTATTAAAATGGCCGCCAATTTTTAAATAGATTTTTTATTTAAATTTTATTTCACTAGGTAAAACAATCCCATTGAGATTAAAAAGCTTTTTTTCAAGGGGGACCTGGCCAAGATGACAGAACCTGCATAAAATCATTGCAAAAATTACCATTAATTTTCTGTTGATCCACTAATTGTTGCACCTCTTGTATAAAAGCTCCAGAATACAGTAGCGGGTTATTTTGAAGAATGAAGCCAGACACCTTAGGTCCTAGAAATCCAATTACTGAGTCATGTTTCATAAAATCTAGCAGACGAACAGCATTTTGAAACCATTATTATTTGTGAAACCAGAAACCTCTTGGTTGATGTATGTAATTGTAGAGGACAGCTGTTTCTGTAGCAGGTTTTCTACCGTGGATTCTTTATGAGTGAAACCCTTCAACATAACAAGTGCTGAGGGGAGAAAACATCATCATAAGTCAGAATCTGACAGCTCGGTATATAGGGTGAAGTGGGGGCAAACACACTGGAGGAAATCCACTGAGAAATGTTTACTAATTGTGCTAATGTGCCTAATGCTGTCAGCAACATGACAGAGCAAAACGTCTGCAACGAGAAAACACAAATGCAGCATTTCTGAGAATTACATTTTATCATGTAAACTTTGTTCAGCAAATCTGAAACACGATGGGGAAATACTGTCCAGACATTATTGCCCCTGACAGCGCTACTAACTGAATCAAAGCTGAGGAGAGATAATTACATTAGACTGTTTGGTGAAAGCAATAAAGATGAGGTGACCTGAAAACGGGCAAACGCATGTAAAGTCTGCAAACAATCTCTGCTTATTGAGACTCAGAGAACGAGGAGGAAGAGGGTGAGAATTTGGTTTCATAAATAGCATCGCCATAATGTGAAGGAGGTGAAAAATTAAGAGCCTCATTATCAGCCAACTGCTACAGAGCAGCAGTGCTGGCTGTCAAAATGATCAGGATGGATTTAGTCAAAGACCAAGAATAAAAGGGCAGCACCTAATCATCTGTTTACACCGTAAAGAAGCTCCTGAGGCGTGGAGAAAGGAGAAAAGTGGGTTGGACGAGAAGGAAAGAGAGGGGCGAAAGAAAAAGAGGAGACGGGAGAAGAAGTGAAAATGATGAAGAACAGAAGTGAGAAAGACAAAGAGAAAACAGAAGGTAGCGGGATCAGTAATGAAAAGAAAGAGTGGGTTAGAGAATAAGAAAGGAAAGTGGAGGGACAAAAAAGGAAAAGGACACAGGAACAGCAAGAGAGGAGAAAGAAAAGATGGAAACAATAGAGAGATAGAAAATAACAAAGGGGAAGAGGTGAAAGGGATCTGGGAGGAAAAATGAGATCTGGGTAGAAAAGGCAACAGAAGAGAAACCAAGAAAGAAAGAAAGTGGGGGAAGCCATGAGAGGAAGAGGTCAAATAGGGAAAGTGAGAGGAGGAGGAGGAGGAAGGCAGCAGGACAAGAGAATGACTGAATGACTGAGAATGAAGGACAGAGGATATGGGAATAATAGGGTGACTGGAAAACAGAGTGAAGAGAGAATAAATGAGCATCAGTGGAGGAGAGAGGTGTATATGAGGAACCAGG